GAAAGAAAGAAAGAAAGAAAGAAAGAAAGAAAGAAAGAAAGAAAGAAAGAAAGAAAGAAAGAAAGAAAGAAAGAAAGAAAGAAAGAAAGAAAGAGAAACTCCACACATCCTTCAACCGGAGGTTTCATCCAACGCATCGAACATTGCTCAGGCCCTGGCAACACTGAGCATTTTATAGGTACAAGCTGGAGAAAGGCGTTAGCTGGTGGACACACACGGCGTTTCTGTTACCTGTATGACGTGAGCACCGTAGCCCTGGCCTTCCGGCACCGATGCCTGGTACACGCTTTGCTGAAAGCCTGGGAAATTATCATTCGCGTCTTGGATGGAGACTGCCACTTTGCTGTAGGCACTACGACCCCGACTGTCAGCCAGAACGATGAGCTGGATTTCATTTCTGATTTCAAAATCAAGAAACTTGGGCTCTTTGACTGTGAGCTCTCCTATTTTTATTCGCAGGGAGAAATGGAAACAAAAGGACACCTTAGTTAACCTGAAAGCCCCAGTCACCTCTGGCTCAAGCTGAGAGCCTCACCTGCCCTCAGCCCCCCATTGCCTGGCCTCCCTCACCTCACAGGGGCCACTGTGTAAAGTGAGAATGTGTGGATATTTGCAGGATGCAAATATATAGGAGGGGAAAAAAAAAAAAAACAACTACATTCCTGAAATCTGAACACTCTCTCTTAAATTGCCCTCCTCTACGTAGAAAACATCTGCCTTTCCAACATGTCTGGAATCACCTCCCTCATCTTCGCCTCCCTCCTCAGGGCCACCAGCCTGTCCCACCTTGTGCACACTGCCTCACTCATTGCCACAGGCCCTGCTGACTTGGGCTTCTCCTGACTCATCGCCCCTTCTGTTTGCCCTCTCTGCCTGTGTGGCCACCCTGTAAGTTTCTGTTCCTCATAGGCTGATCCTCACAGGGCTGTCAGGCAGGCTTTCCCGTCTACCTGGGAGGGATGCTTCCTGGGGGAGCTTTCTAGATGCTGCTGCCCCATTTCTGACTCACAAAATGCCTGCAGGTACTTTGTTCATCTATTGTAATCAAGTTAGGTCTCTCAGTTTAGACACTGTAAGGAAAGGAAGTTACCTGGCTCTTATTCTGTCCTATTCCCAGAGCCAGATAGGGTTTGACATCCAGAAGGCACCTGGTGTCTGTCACATACCCATGTTACAAGACTCTGGGTGAGCCCACACTCAAGTTTCTCTCCCAAATTATGATTGAATGTCCTTTCTTGATATAATTCCCTTCTCTAATTTCTATTGATATCTCCTGTTCTTCACAAGCAAACTTATCAATGAATTTAATGTTTTGTAATTTTATTATCATCATTTACTTGGTTTTCACTGTCAGAAATTTTATCAAATAGAGAATTGCTGAAAGAGGGTTGATTTTGAGTTTGAGAAACCCACGCCCAGCTACATCCTGGACCTGGTTGCTTATGTAGATAAATGACTTGGTTCTGGCACGATGTGACTTGGAGTCAGTTCTATGGGTTCTGTAGAGCCAAGCTACCTCTTCTGCAAAATGGGGGTACCAATAATGGCTTCATGTATTGCTGTGAGACGTAACAGAGAGCACATCTAGGTTATTTCTCCACAGTAGATGACTTCAGATTGCAATGTTCAGCCCGAATCGCACTTTCTCTCCATTACCAGGGAGAGAATTAATATCTTCGTAAGCTCTGAATTTAGAAAAGGAAAATGTAATCACCAGCGATTGTTAAAAGTTTGATCCTTTGGTGAAAGGACCTGTACTGGGTGTGGAAATACAGCGTTGACATCACAGTTACTAGGCTCCCCCTGATCCAGTTTCCCCCAAGAGCCAGCTGCGCCCAGGGAACCTTCAGGTTGTCACATCATAACCTATTTTAACTGCTAACTTTGGTATTGAGTGTTTTGTGAGAATTTTCTAACCTCTTTTCTGTTATTAAGAAAAGTAAAATGTTTATATTCTATATGAAGAACAACTATTGTACTACCAAGTTTAAAGTTTCATAAACTCACTTTCATTTACCAGATTTAGTTACCAATTCAAAACTAAAACCAAATTACTTATACAAACCACAGTCTGAGGAAACAAATACCCTGACAAAAATTAGAGTAGATCTAACTATTGGCAGCTGGAGAATCATTTAAATACATTCTGATGAGCTGGTAATGTAAGAAGCTAGTCTTGAGAAACATCTATGAAACAGGGCTAAGCCCTGCACCCCTAATGGCAAAGGAGCCCCAGTCTGATGTGGGTCTAAAGCTCTTGTCCAGAACTTTGTCTCCACTAAATGAAGCACTCAGCTTGCTATCATATTCTGTTACTATTAGCAAAGGACAACAGAATAGAAATGCAACTCTTAATTGCCAGTGTCATTTAGTAGAGATTGTGCCAATTACAGTGTAGATCAAAGTGGATATTTTAATAAAAGGCTTGTGTTAGGCTTTGATAATTGGAATTTTGCACTTGGAATGGATCAGCAATTCTAATGCTTTCCTTGCTTGGTTTTTATTTTTGGCATAATAACTGGCATATGCTATGAAAACAGTGCAAGCAGAAAGGACAAATAGCCAGCTGAGATGACCCAAGGCTGGCACACCTACCACATTCACAGTCTGTATTTTTCTCAGAGACATCAGGATTTACTGTTAGACTGACAGGAAAATACTACTGGGCTCGGTCTAATCATATGGGCGGAAATCCACATTTTCTTTAAAAGTAAGCTCCTCCCAGGTTCATAGCATTCTTACGTGTGCCAGTTTTATAATAGCTTGACATAAAAGTGCAGTACTATTTTCCTTCTGATAGATGGCCATATGTAGCTTTTGTCCAAGTTCTAAAATGCACATCAAAATGAGATTAAATCCCTCCACTGCTAAGTGCTTGATAACATCATCAGTTACTTTAGTCAATTACAAGTGTGCACGTGCATACGTGTACACTCGGAGCAGAATGTGATAAATATTTATGTTATCCAAAAGCTTTTAAACTCACCCCTGCTGAAACTACATCCTTGAGACATTGAAAATTTAATCATTTTTTTATGTCAATCTTTCAACTAATGGAATGAATACTTCCATCTGTTATTTGCATATACAACATTAGTCAAACTCCAAAATTCCTGCTGGTTTAGACAGTGAGTAGTAGATATTTTTTAAGTTAAAGTGACAGGGAGTTTGGATACAAAAGTAAACGTTTGATTTGGAGCTATGGATCAGAGGGCAAACTCAGGTACAAATGGATAGGAACCCCAGTGCTCATCAGAGATGTAGCTAATCATAACTTATTAAGCCAATAATTAATAAGATGGTTTGCTCGCATCTTTACCCTTACGAAAAGTGGCCACACACTTAGACAACAATGTTACTGTTTCCCATCTACATTAATTCTCTGCAGTAACTGGTATATGGTTTAAACTAAACTCACAAAACCTCCATCACATACCTTTCGATAAATTGAATGAGCATGTGGCTAAAGTGGCATGAAAGCCGAATTCTTGAAAAGGTTTCTTGACAGCGGTATGGTAAATTATACACTGGAACAATCCTTACGATAAAAACGACTCAAATGCTGATAAATTAAACTATGTGGGTGTGTTAAAATGCATCAGTGAGCTGCTATAGTAATAAGGAATCCTCGGAGGAAAAAATAAAGGAAACAGGTATCCAGGGGGTTAGAAAGCACTAAGCAACATTCACTGCAGCACTATCCACAACAACCAAACTGGAAATCAACTAAGGGTCCGGTTACAGAGCAGAGGCGCAAGGAGAGATGGTACCTACTCACAGTGGAATATTAGCCAGTCACGAAAAAAAAATTCTTGCCAGTTGTGACATCATCATGGCTGGGCGGGAGGGGACAATGGTAGCAAAGTCAGTCAGAAAGAGAAGACAAACAACAGTCGGTGTCACTTGCATGTGGATTATAGAGAAGCCAAAGGGTCAGCTCTAGCCAAAGCATGAGAAGCCTCGGAACTGACTGCAGAACTCAGGCTACTAGAAAGGGGGGGAGGGAAAGCGATGAGGTGAGAGGGGCGCAGTGGGCCATGGGGGAGGGCTCCCGGCGTTCTCATGTAGCATGTGGTGTGGTCGGGGAGAGGGCCTGTACCCCTAAACTTCTCGAAAAACCCAATCTTCAAAATATTCTCAAAGAAAAAGCGCCACGGACAATGAGCAGCTCAAAGGCAAAGAGCACAACAGTCCTTGGGAAACAAGAACAGGAGCAGAGCACAGAAGCATAAGCCGTCCAAGACTTGGGTGCTGGAATTATGAACACACATGTGCAAGTATTATATAGGTCTAAATATGGAAAAAAGAAACTTGGAGATATAAAGAATAAGAGATGACTAAAAAAAAAAAGAAGAGCAAGAAGAGTTGAAAAAGAATGCAGGGGGCTTCTAGAAGTAAAAAAATATATATTGTTTCCCTGACTGAAGAGAAAAAGGACCAAAAGATGAAAAAGAGACGCGAGAGAGCAGGGCCGCCTGCCTCTGGCCAGCTGGTGTTCCCCAAAGGATCCGAGTAAATGGCAGGCAGGCCAAGGGCGGGATTATTTTTTTTTTAAGATTTCTTTATTTGTACATACAGAACTGGGGTACAGGCCAGAGATGCAGGGCAGTGAGAGGATTCACCAGAGACAGAGTGGGGAGCAGAACAGGCAGATTGATGAAGTCCACTGCTGAGGGGAGCAGCGGGCGGGTCAGGAGAGTTCTGCAATGCCATGTGGGTCACCTCTAGGGCAGGCGGGAATCGAACTCATGCGGAAGTGGCTTTAGCTTCTCAGTGCTGTGCTTTAACCTGCTGCGCCACCAGGGAGGGCCCCTGAGGGCTGGATTCTTAACGCAATGATTGCCAAGAGAAGGCAGGAGGTTTTATGAAGTGTAGTAGGAGAACAAAACTATGAGCCAGAAGGCCTAAGCCTAACAAAACTATATTTGCTTGTTTGTGGTACATTTGGAAAGGGCAGGTATGAAGGGAAAGGAGGAGAGAGGTGGGTGCGTAGTATGGCAGACAGCGCTCACAGAAGTATCTTTTCAAAGAAAGGTTTAATAGAGACATTTCAGACAATCAAAATTAAAGTTTTCTATGATAGCCTGATTGAAGGATGTAATTTTATGACACTAGAGTAAAATGTGGCATAAAAGAATAAATAGGGACCCTCCCTGGTGGCACAACGGGTTAAAGCGCAGCACTATGAATCTCTCCACAGTCACTGCAGCACGAGTTTGAATCCCGGTCAGGGAGCTGACCCACATGGTGAGGCAGCCCTCTCCTGTCTCCCCTTCTGCTCCCCTCAGCAGTGTACCTCATCAGGACACCTGTCTGCTCCCCATTCTGTCTCTGGTGAATCCTCACACCCCCACACCTCTGGCCAACACCCCAGCTCTGTAGGCATAAATAAA